CAGCGAACACAGCAAACCCTCTTGAGCTTTTCGAGGAGGGGGGGGCGGAGATCCCCGTAGACAGTGCGCAGAGCAAAGTCCAACTGTCCAGGTTTTACCCGCACGACAAAGTAGAGCTCGCTTTCCACGCGTGGAATTTCCTCCGTGGAGCTCTCAAGGACGAGAAGACAGGACAATAATGAAGCGAGCTGAGTCGCCCCTGGGGGCGCTCCGTGAGCTGAAGGGGTTGTCCGACCCAGAATCGTCCATGCAGCCTGCGGATGAGTTAAAACCCCCGACATCCAAGAAGATCCCGATGGCAGAGAATCCGCAACATGCTCTCAACAGTATGCTCGCCACCGCAGAGTACCTTTCGAAACGGGGGCTTGATGTTAACGAAACCTTCGTTTTGCACCTCTTCTTGGATGCCCTCTCCAACGAGTACGCTATGACCAAGCACGCCCTCAGACACAAGGAGAGGTTGACAAGGAGTGACGTCCTGAAGGAGGTCACCATCGAATATCGATCGATCATGGAGAAGGTGAAGGCGGGGAAAGGCAAGGGCGCGCGCGGCGCCGAGCAGGCGTACCTCGCCGACGGAGGCGGCCACCGTGGGCGGTCGTCGTGGCGTGGGGGCGGCCGCCGAGGGCGGTCGTCCTGGCGTGGTCGTGGCGGTGGCCGCAGCGGCGGCCGCGGGGGCGGCGACAGCAGCGGAAAAGGCGGTGGCGGCGTCGAGGAGAGCAAGGGGAGTGGCTCTGGTGGGGCAGATGGCGGCGGTACCGGGGACAAGAAGTTCCCGGGCCGGTGCTTCACGTGTGGCCGTTTCGGACACACGCAGCAGGACTGCACCACCAAGGAGAGCGACTACCTCCCGCAGTGCTCACACTGCGCAGGATGGGGTCACAGCAAGGACAAGTGCGCGACGGAGGAGGCCGTCCTGGCGCAGATCGTCCATGCCGACAGCGACGCCGACTCCGTCGACAACCAGGCCTTCTGCGCGGCGCCGGGCCTGCCAGGCGAGTGTGGTGCTGTTGACCTAGGTCTAGTGGGGGTAACGGAACTAGGCCAGGATGTCATGGTGTACGTCGCTGATACAGCAGCCACGTGCTCCATGTTCCGATGCGCAAACGCGTTCGTGAACTACCGCGAGTGTAGTGGTTGGGTCAAGGGGATCGGAGGCAACAAGGCCCCCGTTCCTCTCCTAGGGTACGGAGACGTGACCGTAGTCTTTCTGACCGAAGGCGGTAGGGTACCAGTGCTAATCCTGAACGCCGCTCATGTGCCCGAGTCCCCCCACAACCTTCTCTCACTGTCGGCGTTGGCCGAGGAAGGCCACACGTATTCCGGCCAGAAGGGGGGGCTGACTCTCACTACGAGAGCCGGGGGGAAGGTGTGGTTCCCCCGGACGGGTAAGCTGCAAACTCAAGAAGGCTATGAAATCGAGCCGAAGGTAGACATCGCCTGTGCCGCAACAGGTGTTCCTGGCGATGCGAAAGTAGCCACCCCCACTGACCTCAATTACTACCACAATTCGCACGGCCACACGCACGAGGAACTGCTCCAGAAAACGGCGAAACAGCAAGGAGTGCAGCTGACGGGAGGACCGCTGCTAC